CAGCCGATCAGCTTCCTTCACCATATCCAGTTGACCATAAACATCAATCATAATGTTACAAGTTGTAAGATTAAGCGGGCAGTTGACCTCTGTCATCTCAGAAAACACAGAGAGTGCCTCCAAGAACTTCTCATTCTCAACAAACATACTCAGCAAAGTGGAATAGCTAACAGTATCAGGCACAACATCCACAGCTCTCATCTCTTTCAACAAAAAACGAGCCTCTCTAAAAAGCTTAGCTTTTCCAAACACATTAATCATGGAGTTATAGGCTACAATATCTGGGGTAATCCCAGATCTTTTCAATCTCGAAAAAATAGAAATAGCCTTTGAATAATCACAGAGTTTACGAGAAAGCTCAATCAAATTACTGTACAAAACAAGGTCCCCAGACACACGATCTTGCTCCATTTTTTGTAGCCAAGAGAGGGCAGCATCAAACATACCCTCTTTGCCAAAATAAGTGATGAGAGTCGAATAAGTATACCTATCAGCCGCAAGAGCTCTCTGGCGCATTTCGTCGAACAGCCCATGTGCAAGCTCCCACTGTTTAGCACGTAGCACATTTCGTAGAACAACATTGTAAGCGAAGACCGAAGGAGTGTAAAGAGCCTCTTCGTTGATCCAATCGAGAATCGCAAGCGACCTTTGCCAGTCCGATTCTCGCGACAAAATTGACACCATAAACCGCATTGAAAGCTGCCGCCCTTTGTACGGCGACAGAATCGAGTAAAGCTCTTGCTCGTTCTTCGTTTGTCCAATTGACGCTAAAAGCTCGTCCATATCAACGCTGTGGTCTAAATGTGAGGACTCTCTTTGCCTTCTCGCACTGCGTTCGTACTTTTGGGGAAATGGGGTTGTGGTTGATTTCTCAGATGGGGTTTTTCTTCTCCATATATCTTTGGATGTTGAAGAAGATGAAGCTCTGGGAATTGAAATTCGAATTCTGGGCTTTGATTTAAACTCACTCAGGCAAACTTTGAGGTTATTTCTAGTTTCGTTTAGGCACAAGAACATGGGGGAAGAGAAGGATGAAGTTGATTGCAATTGCATTGAAGAAGGTGAGATTGAAGCGATAACCATTTCAACAAAGGGAATTAGTTCATAGTTTTGAAGGGTGAAGAGGAGAGAGTAGAAATTTGTTCGCAGCTCCGTTCCCGGCGCCGGTGACGGGGATCCCTTCGGGTTTTCGCTTCTTCGTGCCTTCTTTGTATTTTTTCTATTTCATTTATTGCTTTTTTTTTTTTTTCCATATTAACTAATCTCAATAATATTCTTAAATTATAATATATATATATATATAATACATTTACCCAAATTACAAAATTTTTATTAATTATGTAAAAAAATATGAAATTACAAATTTATTAAAAATAAAAGCAGTGGGAGATTTGAACCACAAATAATGGGGTGCTGGAATTAGCAGATTCCGGCGAGGCAAAGCCGTAGGGTCCTCCATTTTCGGGTTTACACCATTTGTTTTTCTCCTAAAAAGGGTTGTCTTGAATTTTGGGTCATATTTTGTTGTTGTTGATTCCGTCGTCCAGGACTGCAATGGAGCTATTCCAGAAGGCCAAAGTGGTTCGTCTAAAAAGCCACCATGACAAGTACCTCCTTGCAGAGGACGACGAAGAAAGCGTGTACCAAGACCGCAACGGCTCAGTCAAAAACGCCAAATGGACAGTCGAATTCGTCGACAATCCCCCCGGCCTCCGCTTCAAGAGCTGCTTCGGTAAATACCTAACCGCCTCCAATCTCCCCTTTCTTCTGGGTATGACCGGCAAAAAGGTCCTGCAAACCCTACCCCAAAAGCCCGATTCCTCCACCGAGTGGGAGGCCATCCGTGAGGGCTTTCTAGTCAGGCTCAAAACTCGGAACGGCCAGTTCCTTAGGGCCAATAGCGGCTTGCCTCCCTGGCGCGACTCCGTTACTCATGATACTCCTTTTAGAACCGCCACCAAGGATTGGATCCTTTGGGACATCGATATCCTCCAGGTTCGATCTCCCAGCTCCGTTCATTACCACTCGTCTGCACCTACTCTTCCACCACCGCCCCCACCCTCCAAGCACAAACCCCACCACCACCATCACCATTTCCGCCGCCGCCATTGCAAGGTCGTGGACTCCTCGCCGTCACGGGATCATCATTGTAGAGAACAGGTGGTTTGGTCTGCAATCCACAGCTATATTTCTATTGGGTTTGAAGTTGAAAGTCTTACATATATACATTAATGACTTGCAGTCAAGCGAGTCAGTCGATGGGTCACCAATGACAGCGGCGGAGGGGAGGGTGATCCATTACCTTGTGGCAAACAGGAAAGGGGAGGTGAAGAAGGGAGAAGAAGAGGTGAGTTTTACATTCAAAGGGAGTCAGCCGGAGGAGTTGAAGGAGAAGTTGATAGAGGAGTCGGGCCTCCCCGACATCATCGTCTGTACTCGTAATCCTCTCAATGGAAAACTCTATCCTCTCCGCCTCCATCTTCCTCCAAACAATGCCGGCCTGCACGTTGTGCTGGTCCCTTCTTCTAATGGTCAGTATACTTGTCTTTGTCTTCAACGTTTTCTTGATCTCCTCGTATAATTGCTGCTGCTTCGATGTTACTAGATATCGAGACACTCGAGAGTCCGTAGAGTCAAGAACCAGATTTAAATCGGTGATACGAATCTTCTACTCAACTAACTGAGCTATCCCCGCTAGAGAAATCAATCAAACCACATGGTTTTCTTTCTAGATAAGTTTAGGGACGTCCAAAATTGACTAACAGTCTATCTCATTCTCGAAGACTTAGCTCCAAACCTACTTATATTCTTTGATAACTCAAATCTACTTATAACTCCCAATTGAATCTTTGGATTTTTGTGTATTATGACTCTTTGTATCACTTCTGAATTATTCTTTTATTCTTTTATTATGTATTCTATGCATTAATATGACCAAATGGGAATAGGTCAGTTACCTTTAACATGCAAAACTATGTTAAAACTTCATTCAAACAAACTCAATTTCTCGCTCAATTTCTCGATGAATTATAGGGTTAACAAAATGTATATATTTTTGTCCATAAACCAAATAAAGTACCTCTTTTCAGCGGTTTTCTACTACTAGGTCAGCTCGCGTGATCCTACAATATTTAAGCGCCAAAAAAAACTCTTATTAAAAGTGTGGGACATTTGAATTATAAGAAAAATATTTTATTTTTTAACTAAGCCATAATAAAATAAGAAAAACAAATAATTTAAATTAATCTAAAATGTAACCAAGAATTGAATACAAGCCCAAAATCTCAAAATCTGAAGACAGGCTAAACCGATTCTGGAATTTGTGTTAATTTCAATTTCAATAAATCCTACGATACTCAGAAACTAATATTTATCAAGAACATAAAGATTGAACACAAAATACAAAATGAAAAGGCAAACACCAAAACAAGAACAAATCAAATGCGAGATGAAAAACATGTATTCCCACGTTGTCTTGTTCCTTTTCCTTTTTCACTGCTCTGTAAGATTTGCAATTCTCAAGATGAGATCAATCCTGACTTACTTTGACATCATTGTAAATCATCTCTAAAAATGAATGTGATTCTCAAAGAAAGGTAAAACAAAATGCATTCACAAGCAAATATTTGCATTCCCATAGAGGAAGGCCACAACAAATGCTATTATAATAGCGAAGACACTGAAAAAAAGGAAGAAGAAGAAGAAGAGGAGCAGCACACGGTTCTTACAGATCATAGAAATTGTCTTAACTAAGCATTATACTATCAAGGTTTGTTTCACACAGATAACAAATTTTCAAGTCAGCTTCAAAACTTAAGCTGTTTGCAAGAAAACATCCTACAACTGTTGGGCTTTTAAGCACTTCACCAACTAAAGGCAAACAATGGGTATGCCTTACAGAACAGAGAAGATGAATAGATTTGAGATCAAACTAGAACCAAGGATGGAGTTTAACATTCAAATAGCTGACCAAGTTAGAAAATAGATAACTTTCAAATGTTTACATAAAAGAGAGGAAGAAGAGTGAGAGTGAGAGGACTTATTGTTGGGGGTTTTTGGATTAAAGTTCAACCAGATGCTCATCTGTGCTTTTGAATCTTCTTCTCCAGCTCTTCTTTGCGGGCTCCAACCACTGTATCCACCACTTTCCCTCTCCTCAGCAACATAAATGTGGGCATTGCTTGTACTCCAAATTCCTGAGCCACATCCTGATTTCACGAACAATCTTGTCAATCTTGCAATTAAATTCTAGCTAAATGTATGTTTTAGTCCCTAATATTGGTGTATTTTCTATTTTCAATCTACTCTTGTTGTTTAAAATGTTTCAATTTAGTCCCTACATTTGAAAAAATTTCGTTTGTCGAACAAGAACATGTGAGACTAGAGGTACCTTTTGGTGAGAATAGCTATGACCATGTTTGCATGTTTTAACATTTTTAGACTATATCATTTTCGTAAGTCAATATTAATATTAGCTTATGATAAACTTACGCGATAGTATACCTACAAATGGAAGAAATTTTCTTATTTCTCTTCCAAATTTGTAAGAAATGGGTAGAAATTGCAAATGTTTACTCTCCTACATGCCTAATATCTCTTTGAAACTTGTACTAACTCACTAAGCATTTATTGGACAACATAAAGTTATGAAAACAACAAAGACTAAAGGCATGTTTCACACGATTCATAACAAATTTTAATGATATGAAAATCACATTTAAAAATATAAAATAAAACATAAAATTAAATTTTAATGATTAGTGTTGAGGATGATTGGTGAGGAGTCCCACGTCACCTAATTAAAGGGTTGATCATGGGTTTATAAGTAAGAAATATTATCTCCATTGGTATGAGGCCTTTTGTAGAAACCAAAATCAAAATGATAAGAGCTTATGTTCAAAGTGGACAATATCATACTATTGTGGAGGTTTGTGATTCCTAACATAATATTAGAGTCATGCCCTTAACTTAGCCATATCAATAGAATCTTCAAATGTGGAACAAAGAAGTTGTGAGCTTCGAAGGTGTAGTCAAAAGTGACTTAAATGTCAAATAAAGGGGGTCCTTTGTTCGAGGACTTCAGAGAATCGAGTCTCGATTAAGGGGAGGCTGTTCAAGGGCTCCATAAGCCTCAGAGGAGGCTCTATAATGTACTTGGTTCAAGGGAAAGGGGAAGATTGTTGGGAGAGGAGTCCTACATCGGCTAATTAAGGGGATGATCATGGGTTTATAAGTAAGGAATACTAGTATAAAGTCTTTTGGAGAAACAAAAAGCAAAGCCATGAGAAGGTGACAATATCACAGTGGAGGTTTGTGATAACATAAAGATGTTTTAAATTGATTTTGAATATGAAAGAAATGGTTTTAAATTCATGCACTAAACTGAAAAAACGCCCTAACATTAGCAACAAAATTTATGACTACAATCGCGGTTAAGATTCTGACAGAGAAATAAGAGGATGCAAAATTGGGAGAAGGAGAAAGACGTACAGATAGCTCATCTACATCGATTTTGACGAACTCAACATCGGTGTATTTGCTGGCCATGGCGTTGAAGGACGGCTCCATGAGCCTACAGGGTCCACACCAAGTCGCAGAGAAATCAATCACCATCTACTCTCCCACAATCCAACAAATTCAAGGAAGAGAAAGAGATCAGATCAGCAATCGAATTGACAACAGTAACCCTAGAAAAAATCCCTTTGATCCAACAATTGGCAATTGAAATAGTGAAATAGAGGCTTACGAGCTTGGAGGATTCCTTAGCGGAATTGAAGTGGAGTTGCCATCTAGCTGAGGAGTGAAAAGACAACACGGACGACGGCTCCGACGACGCATCTTCGGCCCTCGCCGTCGAGGGGCCGATCCAGTTTGAAAGAAGAGCTCCGATCTTCGATAGAAGGACTCCCATTTTTCTCCGTACACAAGAAAAATTGATGTGTCGGCGTAGACTTTGGCAGACGAATGGGCCATGGCTTTTATCATTGCGGCCCAATAACCAATCAGAAAATAGGAATATTTATGTATTTATACCATCGGGCATTAGGGTCATAATTATAACTATTTTCACGCTATTTCATTTAAATTCACTCAAAATCACTTAAACTAAAATTATTATTTTTCACACACACAAAAAAAAAACAAAATTTAAGATGAAAAAAAAAATGAAAATCATGCATATTAATGAAATTTTTTTTTTTTTTTTTTTTACTATGTACTTTTAATATTGTGTTAATAGATTAGAAGTCCTCTATATGTGTGAAAATATGCACTAATGATTTCAAAATAAATTTTTATCTGAAATAATAAGTTTAGATTCTTTTTTTTTTAATGGGTACAATATGGTAATTAAGTAGTAATACACCTCGAGTATAAAAATCTAATTTTTTTAATTGATACAATTAATAGTTTTAAAGTAAAAAAAGACCTTTTGACTTAATGGGCATAAAATATGAAAGATGCTAAAGGAAATAGGAATAATTTTTTTAAAAAAAATATCGGAATATGGAATAGATACCCTAATTTAAATCATCAGAAAGAAAAAGAAGATACTAATTTTAAAAGACCATATATTGAGAGACAGAACTAAAAAAAATTCCTACATATACATACACACATACATACACATGCATACATGCATATATACATATATACATATATACATATATATGCATACATGCATACATGCATATATACATATATACATACATGCATGCATGCATGCATGTTCATGCATACATACATACATACATATTATATATATATATATATATATATAGAAGAAGAAAAAAAATCCTCCTTCGAAAATGGGGATTGGGGGAAGAAGGTTTTATTTGTGTAAAATCGTCTACATTAGTCAATTCCTTCACTTTGTTGTCGATACAGAAATAGATTTGAACCTATTGTGTAGAAACTTGGAAAAAGAAAATAGAGTTGGAACAATATCTCAACATGAATCCATCATGGGCCTCAGTTTCAAAAGGGAGGGGCTGACCAGAGTGTACTAAACAAGTCTCTAATGATACCATCATCATCTCAACGCTTATTTCAACAATCCAAAACAACTGCCAAGTCTGAAGAACAAACACAAGTTCCGGCTATGTATGCCAGAAGCCCTACCTTAATTCTTCAAGCCATAGCGAGTGAAATTTCCTAATCATGGCTTGAGAACCAAAGCTAGACCAACTTTTGCGCTCTTCTCAATTGCTTTGGTGTCTACCTCCCCAGATACAGTGAACAATGATTTTGGACGCCACTCGTGCTGGATAAGAGCACTTGCCTTTCCGAAGTTGTTCACCCGTGCCTTCACTGTGGTCAATGGGTCGAGTGCATGTTGGGTGCCGACCGTGATGGTGTTCTCGTTGGAGGAAAAGCTATGAGCTACCTCCGCACCGACAGCGGTGCTAGTCAATGGGTTCACCGTGTGGTAGTATGATGCACTCAAGGTATCACCTTTATCGTTCCTGAATCATAAATGGACATAATTATTCCCCTGAATATGTACCAAAACCTATACGAGAGCTGACTTAAAAAACTCACAAGGTCAGAGAAGCAATAAGGTCTGCGTTGGCAAAGCTCAGTCCAGAGTTGACTTTGGTGAAGTTTCCAGTTTTGGTATCGAATGAAAGATCGGTACCAAGGGCAAGAAGATTCGTTCCAACAACACCAGAAAAGTTGACAATAGGATTGGCTGTCAGCCCAATACTCGTGCTGATTCCAGCATAATCATGCAGATATTGCAGTTCCACCTACTTGACAAAAACAAAATTCAGTTGGCTGAATTTATCTGCCTGTTTTATAACTATTTTCACACGATGGTCAGAGAAAAAAAATGCACAGCACCACAATTAGAAAATAAAGACACAAAATCCTGAGACTGAAAGAAAACACATTATTCCATCACTCACCTTACCAGACCTTTGATCAGGGACTTTGAAACTAAAGATTGCCTTCAATCCAGGAGCAGGTTCATCCACAGTGATAGTTGTGACAAGCTACAAAATTTCACAACAGCAGTCACAACAATTGCATAAAAAGTAATATGACACAAAGAATAAGTAAGAAGGAACGTAAAACATCACTACCAAATACCAGTGATTAAAAATGGCATACACAAACCTACCTCGATTTAGATTTTATAATTGCATCAATCAATGTGCATGTCGGTGGATTGGGTGGGGGCAATTACAAAAAGGGTAATTTTTTCAACCTAATGGCTTACCGCCTCAAAGAAATATCATTACTGAATATACTTAAGAACTGCCTCAAACAAAATAGAGAAGCAGATGGCTTTTCTCAGATTGTCAGATGATCATAAGCCACAAAGATAGGCATGCTTGCTGCAACTTTCCACATCAAAGTGGACCAACCATTGCCGAATATGATTCCTTATTCTTCAATAAAAGTACAAAGGGATAGTCTAAACAAGGGAATCTAGCTTCATCAAGAGGAAGCAAGACAAATACTCAGCTTCAAATATTCTATGTTAATTTTTTAATCATAAATTCTTAATTATTCGGAGTGCTATACATGATCCTTGATTGTGAACAATTCATATATTCAGACTTTCTCAAAGGACATTCTTGAACTGAATAGTGTTCTGTGATCAGATGAAAATCCAAGATATTCAGACGGGCGGAGCGAAAAAGGAGGCAGTTGTCCACTCTTCGTGTGACATAATTCAAAAACTTATATTCAAAGTAGTTAGACTTAGTAATTTTTCTCTGATTTTTCCATCTGAATTTTCGAAATTGAAATATTTAATTTATAAAAAGTTAGCATGTAAAACCTTGCCACACCCTAAGAAAATTTCTGGCTGCCACTGTATTCAAATATGAGATTAAAAGTCCATGCTACAAGTAATGGAGAGAGAGGGAGAATAGGAGGGGGGCAAGTATGATACTCAAATCTTAAACAGAGGAATACAATAAAGCAGAAAGTAAAAGAAAAATACGTTACATTGGAGCTCGTGTCAACTTTGATATCCGTTGTGATATTTTTGTTCTTCAGCTGAGTATTCACATCAGCCAGAAACAGGTCACCCTTCTTAGTTCCTGAAGATGTTATAGCCTGCAGACAGAAAGATATAAATATGGAATAAGCGAACGCTTGTACTAGTAGAGGAAAAGCATTATCTAAGTTAATACCCAAATACTTAGCATAAATGCCTAGTAAGCAACCACAGGACCGATATGGAACATGAAATTTGTTCATGGAAGATCAAACTAATTAAAAAAAAAATGGTGCAAAAGAATCATGAATCGCGGTCGATAATGACCAGTGCATGCAATATAATAACATGAAAATTAACTACGCCATTCACCCTTTAGGCTTTAACAAATCTCAGACATTTGGGCGGTTAAAATTTCTTCCATAGGAACCTTATTAAATTGAAAATAAAACAAACATACCCCATAAGCAGAGTGGTAATGTCAGTGACCATTAAAAGAAAAGAAAACCATACATTCAGTACTTCAAAGAATCAAAATTCAACCCAAATAAATATACAAAAGCTATAAAGTTCTGGCAATACCTCAGAATCAATTAAGAACAGCAACAGAATTAAAAACGAGAGAAATAAAGTCAAAATTTCATAATTAAGAAGCGTATTTACACTCCTTTTTTTGTTGTACTTAACGATTCATTCACCAACGGAAATTGAATCCAACAGTAGAAATTGAACACCAAAATAGATCTAGAAACTAAAGAGAGTGGCAAGACGAACTCACAACTCCAGTGGGGGAGTAGGTGGTGATGGTGAACTTTTGGTCGCTCTGGTAGTCTCTGTACAGAAGATCTGCCAAAGAAAACAGCACAATACTAAAAGATTTAAAGAAAAATTAACCAAAATAAAAGATTGAACACCCTGTTACAAGAGGAAAAAAATGGAATGAAGAAATGAAGATGGAGAAATGAATAACCTCTAGCTCTCTTGCCGATGTCGGAGTAGAGACCAGGACCCTTCCCCATGGTTTGTGAGGGAAAATGAAAGATTCAAAAGGAGAAGGAAATGAAAATTCTGAAAGGGAAACGATAATCCTCTTCCCCAAACCAGCTGGAAATGAGTGGAGGATTCGGTGGCTTTGATGTACACCTTTAAAACCCTAATTTCAGCCCTTTCTTGTTCTTTTTTCTCTTTATTTTCCCTTTTTCTTTGCTTTTTTTTTTTTTTGCCTGTTATTTTTCGACCGTTGGATTCGAGAATAAAAACCATCCTCTAGCATTTACGACCGTTGAGTTTTATATATATTTCTTTCTTTCTTTCTTTAATAAATATAATTAAAATATTGTGTCGACTGTCGAGAATGTCTCGGTATTAATTCTGATGATGTCATATTTTGTACACTATTTTTATTAGGTAAATTACAAAAATGGAAAGTATATAATAACAATTTAGATAAATATATGATTAAATTACCTGTAAATTTTTGTATTTATTGGTAAGTTAACTTTATAAAGTATTTAGATCCATTTATTGTCCTATTGACATTTAATTATAGATGGATAATTTTTAATAATTTTGAATATGTTGTGACATCTAATTACGCTAGGTATTTATTATATATTTTTTAATTTAAAAATTTTTTAGATACGAAATTGAAAGATCGTTCCATACCTCAAATTTCACCCTGCGTTTTCTTTGTAGGTGTCTCTTCTCCCTCTTTTTTCTTAATCATTTCCTCCTTAAGGGAGAATATTAATTAAGTCGGAATTTCTTTTTTAGACCAATTAGAAATTTTGTTGAGTTGGGTTAAGTTGATGTATTGTTTATATTTTTTTTAATTAATTTTAAATTTTGTACATTAATAATCAAATTTTTATAAAACTCGCTATTAAATATCAAATATTCACGAGTCACAACACATCACTAAAATTTTTACAAACCTCAAATAACCTTAATTTTCATAACAATCTAGTACAAGATGTGATCATATTTTTCAGGCTGGTCAAATCAGTCGGAGAAATAAAAATCAAACATAATTTTCGAATTAAAAAAAAAAATAATCAAACTCAAACTGCAAAAATATAATCCAATTCAACCTTTTTTATAATTAAAGGTAGACATCTTGAGTTGTTTGAGTCATTGAATTATGTGAATGTCAAACTTCTTTATCTTTCATCCATTCCTAGTAATTTTATTATGTCTCTGAAATACAAACAGTTTAAAGCAATGATATAACCGTTTAAATTCACTATTAATAGATATTGCATGATTTTACCGGTTACTATCACCATCAATCTCATAGCTGTTGTCGAATACTAGGGTCATCGTGAATAGGGTTATTGAGTAAACAAAATACCAAATACAAAAAAAATCCAGATCTTCGATGCGATAGCTACTCTCTCCAATATTCTGGAGTGTTAAGAGAATGGTAAAGAGTATTGGGATCGCCATCTGGGTACATATAAACCTTGAATTCCCACTCCCATCTCTGGAACAAGGTTGAGAGCGCTATGCCTGCATGTGAGGAACTGCCTGTTCTTGAAAGAAACTGATCTTCTAAGATGTGGCTTGTAAATCCAGCTCAATCGGTGATTAATGGCGTCGATTAATGGGATCAAGGAGGCACCATTCAACTTAATTAGTGTCAAATTCGAAGGTGAGTGTAATACTAAGGTTTTTCTGCGCTTGCTCGGGATTGTATGTTTTCAATTATAATGTAAATTGCGCCTCAAAATAGAACTGTTCTCATAGATTTTGTGCTCACTAGTTTGGATTTGGGGAGAACTCAAGCTCTAATCGGAAGTATCATATGGCGTTGTTGTTTAATCATCCGAAGTTTGTCAATCCTCTCGACGTTTACCCTAATTTGTATCATAAAGTTTCATAGAATTAAGAATTTATGATTGGATAGGAGATAGTTAGATCTGATGTTTGAAAAACATATACGAAGAATTAGGAATTTATAGTATGGCTAACCATTTGAAAACTTTCTTCTTTGAATTTTCATGCAATTTCCGATTGTTTTTGACAGAATCTTGATAGCCCAGCTGATATTTGCACAATTACAGAGTGAAACGCGAGAATGCAGATAGTTCTGGGTGATAGATTACTAGCGAAGAAGGTCTGTTCACAATGCTTCCTATTTAACATATTGCAATTTCCCTTCTATTTTGGTTATTGCATATGACCATCATTCGTTGATATCTTTAGCACACACATTTACATGTTTTCCTAAAATCATCAGCAGTATACCATTTTGGAAAAAAATGGCAAAAAAAATTCAACTCAAAAACTTCATCTCTGCAAGGGTTCTTTCCTGGTGTTTAGCGTCAATGTCCTAAATATCGGTACCATGTATCTTGTGGTGGCATGGTTGCTTTGATGCGTTACAATGACAGCAAGTAGTAATAGACCAGTGCTACCGGCAGTGCAATGAGCAAGCCCAAGAGTACTCTGTAACCAAAACAAAACCTCATTTCAGTATGTAGTTTGGCTATATAACTTGCTTTTCCTGTCTTTAATCTTTGGGATGAAATGTTAGAAATTAATATGAAGCAAAGTTCTATCATCTGTGCCCAATTAGATACAAGAAATGATGAATGTCTGATTTGAAAATTACAATATTTACCCTGTGCTTAAAACATCTGGATGTATATTATACTCCTTGGCAAAGACAAATGGAACAATTCCTTGAGGAAGTGCTGCCTGTACCAATAAAGAAGAAAAAAAGACGTCAAACAGAATTGTCAATCCTGCATGTGGACTTAGTAATACAAATTACAATGAACCTGCACAATTGCCACTTTGAGCAATCTGCCCCTAAGTCCTAGAGGAAATGAGCATGCTGCCATAAGTGCAGGCCCCATCAAGAATTTCATTCCCATGGCCACCAGTGTCATCTTTGTACCACATGCTATAATGCTACTCCGCGAACCCATGAAAAGTCCTAATGAGTAAGACAACTTGAAGTCAAGTTTTTCTTCATTTACTTGATAGAACTTCTTGTAAAGTTTTCATTTCATACCTAAGCTGAACATAGCCATACCAAGTCCTCCAGTTGATAGAATTGTTATTGATCTGTCAATAACTTCTGGCAATTTTACTCCCCACCTGAGAGCATGTTAGTTTCATCCCAATGCATCTTTAAGTTTTTTTTTGAAGTGAAAGTTATTGTTTTTAATTCACCTGAATCTTATGCTTGCCCAAATGAGTCCCAATATAGTTGCATGAGTATTGGGGTTGCTGATGAGCTTCCTAGCAACTGTTAAGAGAATGGTCCTAGTTTTGAGACTCCTCCTGCTTCTGTCTCTTGCCTCCTCAATTTCTTCTTTGGCTCGTTCTTCTTGAGTTATATCAATTTCTGCTTTTCAAAAAGGCAAACAGCATAACTAGAATGATTGAATCCGACAAAGTTAGCTTACACATTTTTGTTTCGTAAATTTATGTGAGAGTGAGATCCCACATTGGTTGGGGAGGAGGGAGGAGAACTAAACATCCTTTAGAAGGGTGTGGAAACCTATCCCTAGCAAACGCGTTTTAAAAACCTTGAAGGATAACCCAAAAGGGAAAGCTCAAAGAGGACAATATCTGCTAGCGGTGGGCTTGAGCTATTACAGAGATATGTTAAGTATTCTTTGTGCCAAATACACTGGATTAAGCATAGCACTCATGGCTGATGGAAGTAGGAAGAGAATAAAATTTTAGGAAATGAGAGCAGTCAAGAAAAAGTTTAGCAAGTTCCCATTCTTGGTCTTACATATATGAAGTAATGTTATTTTGGTTGATAGAATGAATACAGCAGCCATTTCTGTTGAGGGAAGTCCTAATATTGTACATGAGACTCAAGCTGGGATGGTTATTGAAGTTCATGGCATGAATATGACCATTTTTGTTTAAGGAATTCCAAAGCTTTACACAGCATGACCTATAAAGTAGGGGTGAATTGATTCTGTTTGTTACTATTTTAAAAAGCAATTCCAATGCCTACCTGTGGCTTCTGATGCTGGAGCTAAAGAAGCTGCTTTGGTGGTAGTGAACTCAAAGAGAAACAGTAATATGTTGTACCAAAGAATGCTCTGTAACACAACAATCTGGGCAAGAAGCACATCTGCTTCAGTGCCGTACATGGCTTTCAATACTGGGAGTCCAAGAATTAGAGTATTTGGCATGGTTGACAGAGAGAGACCAGTGATAATCCAATGCAAGCCTCCCCGAGAGGTGATTTTAGTGATAGCTCCCAGCAAAACAATAGCCAATATTTTCTGAAGGAAATCGGCCAATATCAGTTGCAGGTTCATTTTGTAGAGGTTGTTGTCTGAAATGACTTGAAATGATAACAGTGGGATTGAGAATTTTGCCACAAACTTGTTTATTCCAGAACATTGCTCAGCTGTGAAGAACTTCCACCATTTTACAGAGATGTAAGCTAACATCATGGCTACGTACAGAGGGACTGTGGCTGCCACAACATGATAGACATCAGACAACGAAATCATGGTGACCAGCAGAAGAAGGTTTGAAATTTTTTTTGTGTTGTCTATAGAAATTCCTGGTTAATAAAGCACTTTTCTCTGCTTTTCTTGATTGCTTTATTAATCAATAAAAGCTCGGGTTTTGAGCCACTGTTCCTTGGAAGCCTCTTCAAAAGTTCCAATAATGCCCAGAATGACCTTCAGCTTGCTTATTTGTAGATCACAACAAGTGTGTGTAGAATTTTTATAATATGAATTAAACAGCATATGCTACATGAGATTTTTTTTAATAAGATTAAGAGATCTATTATGTTATACATTTATGAATCACCTTTTTCTAATCCCTCGTGTGATGGTTAGATAATGAGTATAATTATTGTAATAATCATGTGTAATAGCAGGGACTAATTAACTGATGAAAGTGGGGGTATTCTTGTCACTGTAAGCTAAAAGTAGATTCCAGAATTCTTGTACTCATGTGCTTTACATTTATCAGTTCTTTAATTAAAGAAGATCTAACTAGGCTGACATGATAACTCTATAACTTCATGCTTTAGTCTTTTACTTCATTTTGAAAGAACATTAAAAGGGATTTCCATTATTTTTTCAATTTTGTTTTCCATCTCGTCGACATGATAAAACATTCATTTTATTCAAAGTTTTTAACCCCTCCCCTCCTGTTCATCAACTGTATGCTTACACTTGTTCTTTCCTCATTGTAGAATAATGCATCAAGTAGTTTCCTTGTATGATTGGAATGTGTCAGCCTCAAAGGGGGTGGATTGTGAGATCCCATATTGGTTGAGGAGGATAACGGAACATTCTTTATAAGGATGTGGAAACCTCCCCTAGTAGACGCGTTTTAAAATCTTAAGTGAAAGCCCAAAGAGGACAATATCTGCTAAGTAGACGCGTTTTAAAACCTTAAGGGAAAGTCCAAAGAGGACAATATCTGCTAGCAGTGAGCTTAGGCTTGGGCTGTTAGACCTTGTATGATTGGAAAGCATGTATCGGGTCTTATATTCTAAATTTAACCTGCAAATTTGTAGGCTTTTGATAATTTCTTTTTTTGTTTATGTTGTAACAGTGGGAAGAAGGAATAAAGAACTGAATTGCAAGTGAAGTAATGGGAATAACAGTAGCAGAGTTCAATGCAGTTGTAAGATAAGAATTTTTCCTAAATATGGTCAAAAGTGTGAGAATAACTGTGAAGGGAAGGAATTGAACCTACTGTCTCTATAGTTTTCTTTACAGTAAAGAACTGAGAAACTGGAAGAAGCCATTGAAAATTGATGACATCAGCTTGCTGCTTTTTAGAAGAATGATGCCAAAACCTTGTAAGTGTCTGAAAAGTAGCTCAAGAATTGGAATTTGATGCCTTTTTCTATTCATTAGAATTAGATACTCCTTTCTTAANATATATATATATATATATATATATATATATATATATATATATTTGCAATAAATCAGAGAGGATTCATTTTTGATAATAGAAATTGCCAACTCGTTAGAAAGTCAAGACCATCTCATTCATTAGGAAACATAGAGTATGGAGTTAAAAAGTAAGATGATCAAAAGGCAGACAAACAACTTCATTTGAATGGCTGTGATTTGATGGCAATGTAGAATAGTGTGATATAGAATTTATTTTTCCTAGTGGCTAAATAGTTGTTCAAATTTGATTCTCCACATTACTTCAAATTCTTTGTGTTATAAAAATGGTGTGACATAGAATATCTTTTGACACTGACTTTGCCCACTGGTTTATGAAACACTGTTTGGTATCTGTCTTGGAAGGAGTTATGTTGTCTGCAACTTCGAGATTTCTAATTCTTTTGTACCTCAGCTGAAGAGATTATGTTTCAAGCTTCTTTGTTTTTGTTTTTTTTTTCACTTTTGTTTTGTTACTGTGCAGGACATGACTTGGCTGATTTACAACTTGAATTGGAAGGGAAGAATGAGTTCTTACTTTCCCTTTAAGATCATTTCCATAGGTTTGTAGCTAAGTTTGGTTAAATTATATTTTTACTCGTACGTTTGCTTTAACCTCTTGATAAAGATAATTTATTTTGAGGTAAATTTTTCCGTTTCAAATTCTATCGACTTATTTATGATATGAATGGAATAGATCAACGATATTTTGTTTCAATAGCATGAAAAGAGGAGGAGATGGGAAATGTTTCTTCTTGTTGGATAAATAGAGACGGGGATTAGATTATATTTTCCGTCCTATCATGGTTAATATAAATATATTTTCATGGTTAATATAAATATATTTTCAAATGGTCTCTATATATATATATATATATTTACCTATCAAATATATCTATTTTTTAGATTTTTTTTTTTTTACAATTCTTTGAGTAAAGATTAACTATATTTTTTTAAAAAAAAGAATAATAAATTAGAAAAAAATTACTTCTTTGTCCCTGTCTCGTCTTGGTTGAGGAGTTGATCTCGTTCTACGGCTACTTTTTAAAGTAAATTAATAACTTGTCGCGTTAAAATTTTCATTGCTCTTCTCTTTTGGTAGTTCAATTAAAGATATATAGTAAAATTTAATTGAATAAGTTTTGAGGACAATAGTATGGTGCAACCAAAATGGGAAAAAGCTGCCTAGGATTTCTTTTCAGTGGATACTTTGGTGATTTATGAAGTTAAATGAAACCAATCATGCTGTTATATCTCTTATTGGGTTGGGTTGGGGTTTGAGAGAGGTTTAAGTACGAAATGTCATATCGTATCTGTATTGGTATGATATCGGTTTAGTTTTTTATTTTATCTAAAAAGTCTCATATGAACGAGGATAATTATCATCACTTATATACTATAAGTATCTCCCACTTCTAACCAATGTGGGATGTTAGTTCCCACTCTTGCAGTACTCCACTTGAACAAAGCACTAGACTTGATCCTTCCCTTGAATAAATCCGTCCACAACGATGTTTGCTCACCAACAATCTTCTCCTCGAACCAATATGTGGTTAAAACATACATCTTTTGAATGAGAGATTCAAGTCACTGATTTCTGTTGAAATTTTTTTTTTTAGCAAATCTAAAATTTTGAGACTGGTGGATAGATGATATGAGTAAACTTTAAAAAAAATCACAACCCAACCAAATTCTCTCTTTTCAAGTTGGATTAAGTTTGTCCCAGTTATTTTATTATAAATTCTTAAAAAAAAATCTTACTTATCTATAATATATATTATTTTAATAACTAAAATTTAATAAAATTCAATATCAAATCTTCACTAAACCTGGTTTAAACAATAAATACACAATAATCTTAAAATTAGGGCTGGATTGGGGTGTAACTCTATTTTCCGATTCATGGACTATAACCTAAACCATTAATATATATATATATAAAAGTTTGATAGTCGTAGATGATCAAAATCTTCCATCATATAAACACTCCTACAAATAATAACCACTATTCTCATGCAATTATCTATAATGATTAGAGCTTCATAATGATTGTTCCATTAAACCTAATGAAAAGAAGCAACGATTCTGCGCAAAAAAGGATGAACCGAAGAAGAAGAAGAAGAAGAAGAAGCTTAAAATAGCAGTGAATTCCACCAAATCCGGCATGAGAGAATGAATTAATGTTATTTTTAGAAAGAAATGAAGAACAAACCCTAAGATCTCCCACTATAAATAATCCATTGATGAGCATTTCCAAAATCAAGCAATGTTAGCAGCTTAGAACAATAAGACAAATAAAATAAACTCAGGCTTGGTTCACATCTAGTTTGGTCTGGCAAGGTCTTGAATTTACTTAGGCCTTTAACCTATCTGGGATTCTTTCTTAGACCTTGACCAGCCCAATAAGCTTGCTTTCAGACCAAAAAAAACCATTCAAAGAGCTCCATTTTTGGTTGGTTCTTTAAGAACAAGAACAAAAATGATGGCAGGTTGGAGTATTAAGGCTGCCTTGGTGCTGCTTTCAATGGCTCTTCTTATGCCATCTCTCAGGGCTGGCATTGCTGAATATGACGACTTTTTGCTGCAACAGGCTGAAGAGGCCAAACAAGCTGCTCTTAAAGCCTACCACCCTCACCCCATGAATGTCACCGAGCATTTTAACCATCATGTTTATTTGTACGTATCGACATATCATTCATCGAGACGTTTCGTCTTCGATTGTTCTAATTATTGACATTGTTCTTTCTTTGTTTCTGCAGGGCTTTAGAGGGAATTCAGGGAAACAATAACACGAGGAGGAGCTTGAGAAAATACAAGGGACCGTGCTTGGCGACGAACCCAATCGATCGTTGCTGGCGTTGCGACCAAAATTGGGCCAACAACCGTAAGAAACTTGGCTATTGTGTTCTTGGTTTTGGCCGAAAAACCACTGGGGGATTAAGAGGACGTTTCTATACTGTCACCGATGCTTCGGACGCCGATGTCGTAAACCCTAAACCCGGAACCCTCCGACATGCTGTTGTTCAAAAGCGACCGTTGTGGATTATTTTTGGACGTAGCATGATCATTAGGCTATCTAAAGAACTGTTGGTGACTAGCGATAAGACCATTGATGCTCGTGGTGCCAATGTGCATATTGCTTATGGTGCTGGTATTAGCATTCAATTCACCCGGAATGTGATCATCCATGGTCTTCACATCCACCACATTCTTTCGGCCTCTGGCGGTATGATCCGAGACGCCGACGACCATGTCGGCCTTCGAACAGTCAGTGATGGTGATGGCATATCCATCTTTGGATCATCCAATGTCTGGCTCGATCATCTCTCCATGTCCAACTGCCAGGACGGCCTCATCGACGCCATCCAAGGCTCCACGGCTATCACTGTCTCAAACTCTCATTTCACTCATCACAACGACGTAATTATAAATCAATCACTAATTACTTCCAAATCATTCAAACAAAAATCATATTTTTACCATTTGAATATGCAGGTGATGCTGTTTGGTGCGAGTGATTCATTTCAAGGCGACTCGATCATGCAAGTGACTGTCGCTTTCAACCATTTTGGTAAGGGATTGGTGCAGAGGATGCCGCGCTGCAGATGGGGCTTCTTCCATGTTGTCAACAACGATTACACTCACTGGCTCATGTATGCCATTGGTGGCAGCCAACATCCCACCATTATCAGTCAGGGGAATCGTTTCATTGCCCCACCTAACCCTGCTGCAAAACAGGTGATGAAAACTCAACTTATATCCAAATGGGTTAGAGAAAAATTTGAACTTTGTGTGACAAAAACTCAAATGGGTTGGAGAAAAATTGAATCTTTTTGAACTTATAAAAACTCAAATGGGTTAAAGAAAATTGAATCTTTTGTGTTACAAAAACAGATTACGAACAGAAACTACGCAACAGAGAGTATATGGAAAACATGGACATGGAGATCGGAAGGGGATTTGTTGATGAATGGAGCGTATTTTGTTGAGTCTGGGGATCCAAGCAAGCGAAGGCCATACAGCAGGTTCGACATGATAAAGGCTAGGCCTGGCACTTTTGTTAGGAGGCTGACGCGTTTCTCTGGCTCGCTCAACTGTTATGTTGGTCGCCCATGCTAAAAGCAACAGCCAACAACCAAAACTCATTTATTTTGATCTTTTCTTCAATGAAGAACAAGAACAAGTTGATGGGTGAGAGAGCAGCGAAAATGGAGAACTTGACAAAACCAGCAGAGGGAATTAAAAGTGGAAGGCCTGAAGAAGACGAACAACTTTATTTCATTCTTTTGTGTTTATAACATTTATTTGTAGCGATTGTTTGTATTCCCTTTTCTTTGGTTATCAATGAAAAAAATCCATTTCTTTTATAAATATTGAGAATCGTTGCAAATATCTATTTTTAGCGGCAAATTGTTGCAAATTCCATCGTCCTTCCAATGGGTTCTCGTCGGAATCGGTAACAGAACCCTAAACATGCCGACCACCACCTCCTCTGCTTTGGCTGCCGGCGCGATCCTCTTTCTGTTCATCATCGTTTCCGCCGCCTCGGCTCCGATCCTGTTGATTATGGACCGGCGTTGTCTGGCGATGGGGTTCTTCCTAGAGGAGAGTTTCATCCTTTGGCGACGTTGCACGTCCGGCCTAAGTCCCAGAAGGCGCTGCTTGTCGCCTACACACTTGGCTTGGAGCTCGATGTTCTTAACTCTGTGGCTGCACATGGTGGTGATAGAAATAAGCTAGACAAAGTGCTGTCTACAATGTCGCATTTCGACGTCGAGATGGCTTTGTATTATGTAAGATCTTCAGATCATGACTTTCAAGAACAAAAGAAAGCAATTCTGATGCTAATTAATGGATTGCAGAGTTAAATTGAAGCATTAGGATGTTGAATTCTGATCGCCGGGAACGGGTAACCGTTTTCATTTGGCGATTTGCTCGAGTTTGGATTATTACTTTTCTATGATTCTGCAATATCTGTTTATCCATGTTCTAGATTAACATGTTCGATATGATGATATCAACAATGAAGGAAGCATACTTTCAGGCTGCTTTGAAACAATGAAACATACCACTAAAGTATGAATGAAGCTCACTTTCTTGCAGATCTTTGTTCGAGCTGCAAACGAACGGTTCATCTGTAAGTCTATCACCGAAGACGTCTCCAAACTCATCAAATGCACTGTTGAGCTGCCCATGAGTCTTGGTCTCTTCTCCATTATCAGCATCATCCACAGAGAGATTTGAGTTGGTCTCAACCAGTTTCTTGAAAAATGATGACCGAAGAAGGAGGTCGAGCGCTGATGGAGAAGATGATTTAGCGTAACCATTGATCGGGGTGCTGCAGCTCTCGAGAAGTTCTTGCTTTTGAAGAGAATGGAAGAGATCGATGTCGTAGTGATTGTTTTCAAACAATGAAGTTTCTTCTACTGGGATGGATCTGGAGTTAGAGAGTTCCTTGTCTGGATTCGACGTCATATGGGCGTCGTTGAGGGCAGCGGGTGGCACTGGAGGAGGCTTCAGCCAGGCCATGTAATTGCTCCAGTCGAAGTTGGTGACCGCATTGATCCCTCGGTATTCAATGGCGGCCATATCGTAAGCTCGAGCAGCTTCCTCTTGAGTGCCTGCAGTGGAAGATCAAACAGATATGTGATAAGGAATCAAATTCAGCATGAAAAAACTTCTCAAAACTAGAATTGCTCACCGTAAGTTCCAAGATACAGGTACTTGTTCCCATAAACTCTCCCTATTCTTGCTTCCCATCTACCATTATGATGATGCCTGCAAAACAGAAATTCACCGAAGTTTCTATTAAAATTTTCCCTTTTTGATGGTTAGAATGAACTCTCAAGAACTCTCAAGAACTCTCAAGAACACTCAAGAACATCTCCAAATATAGAGAACAAGATAACTTCACCTTGCAACTCCTCTATACTTTGATACACCTCTTGAAAAGCCACTGCTCTTTCTGAAACAAAACGATATATCATAATGGCAGTTTGATTTTAGAAGAAAAATATTAGAATGTTTGAATCCAAACCTTCTTAAAGAGGCCAAATACTCCTCCTTTGTCATCGTTTGCATTGTCTCAATCTCTTTCTCATACTCTGATACCTACAAAAAGAAAGCACATCCCTAAACTAGTATTGGTATCAATTTAAACTAACCTTTGGTAATCCATTTAAACCATTTGTTGGTGATTAGTTTATAACTTATTTCGGTTTGAAAATAGAATGGAAGGTTCACGGCCCAAGTCCACCGCTAGCAGATATTGTCCTCTTTGGGCTTTCCCTTTTGGATTTCCCCTCAAAGTTTTTAAAACGGGTCTATTAAGGAGAGGTCTACCACTAGCATATATTGTTCTCTTTGAGCTTCCCTTTCAAATTTCTCCAAAGTCTTGTAAAATGCGTCTATTATGGAGAAGTTTATCGCTAGCAGATAGTCCTTGAGATTTCCCTTTCGAACTTTCCCTTAAGGTCTTTAAAACACTTCTACTAGGGAGAAGTTTCTTAGGAATGTTTCGTTCCTGAGATCTCACAATCCACCTTCTTTTGGGGGCCAGCGTCCTCGTTGGCACACGATTCGATATCCACCCCATTCGAGGCTCAACGACACTGGTACATCGCCCAGAACCTGGCTAATACCATTTGTAATAGCTCAAGTCAAACCCACAGTTAATAGATATTGTCCTTTTTTAGCCTTTTCTTTTGAGTTTCCCCTCGAGGTTTTTAAACTGTATCTACTCGAAAGAGGTTTTCGCACCCTTATAGAAAATATTTCGTTCCCCTCTCCAACTGATGTAGGATCTCACAGTATCTTCTTTACATTTTACTAACACAAACTTACAGGGAAATTAGTGATGGTTGTTACACCCCAGTACTTGAGTGCTGCTAAATCATAAGCCCTTGCAGCTGATTCTTCTTCATCATAAGCTCCTGTCATGAATTAAACCAAAAACACACACATGAACATGTTATTTAGAGAGACAGAGACAGTAAAACATGACTTGGAATGAAGTGAAAGTTACTCACCAAGATAAACTGTTGGGAGACCAAAAAACCAGTTGAATCAAAAGCATCAAACACAAAATTCAAAGAGATTATCAGAACCCCATAACAAAAAATTCGACGAAGAAGAAGAAGAAAATGGAAGATTTTGTATGAAAACATTGTTCAACCTTGTTTTCCCTTCTTCTTCTGCGTCATGTTCCAAGAAAGTTTATCCCATAAATGAGCTTCAAACCGACCCGTCCATCTATGTCTGCTCATCACAATACACCATCATGAAGAACCAATATCTTGCGTTTTAATGATCTTATGTTCATGACTTGTTTCAATTACCTGCTGACCCCCCGAAATCTCGAACTCCGCTTCATAGTGGTGGTCGGAGCTTGATCGGATTGTTGCTTCACACACTGTTGTTTATTAGTTTGATCGGTGGCGGCGGAAGCAGGCTCTCTCCGCCGTCTCTTTACACGTCTTATGGCCTGAGCCTGACCTCCTGTCCAACATATTCTCAGATTCTCCTCATTCTTCAGTACCAAAGCTGGCGCCTCCATTTTTGTTCTTCTTGCTTTTCCCTCTCCTCCAACCCCGCAAGTCTTATTCTATATATATATATATAAATCAATCTGTCATCTTTTTGTTATTTAAATTAAATTTTACTTTTTAAGATGAAACTAGAAACGATGTTAAGTTTAATATTATAATTTTGTATTAATTATTCTCGAGTTAGCAAAATAACACAGTCTATTTAGTCTTCAAAACACGATGGTATCGACATTTCCCAATGGCATGACCACATTATCTTCTTTGTCACTTCAATAACAACCAGTTTGAATTCTTTCACCATGTTTTATTCTCACTCATATGTTTTTAAGCTTGAAGCTAAGTACGGTTAATTTTTTTTGTTCTTATAAATGAGTCATGTACAACTTTAAGGATTTTGTCCTTGTGATCAATCTCATTAGTCTTAATTCATTTATGAATCTTTAAGGATTTTTTATGTTTTATATATTTCTCAAATAATTAATAAAAATGTCGATATCCAACCAATAGAAATATAGAAATATTTATGGTTGGATTTTTAATATTAATTATTCAAACAGTCCAAAACAATAAGGTCGGTAATATCAAGGCAATCATGTGAAAAGACAAAAAAGCCCCCATTTGTCTACATTCTGTCTGCTAGCCCTAATTCATTTCTTAAACACAAAAAAACATTATTTATTAGCAAAAGGTCACAAAATCTGTTTGGATTTTTAAGGCAAGTGGTTCATATGAACTGTCTAATGAACATATTTTTTAAAACGGATTAAATTATTAATTTGATTCCTACCGAAATAATTATTGTTTCCTTAACTCTCCTAACCCGTATAAGATTGTGTTCATATAGAACTATTGATGATCATTAAGAGTGAGTCACACGTTGACTAATTTAGAAAATGATGATTGAAAAAATGGACTTAATTGGCTAAATCGTGGCCTCCAATGGAGGAAGAAGGTGGTTGGTTGTTGGTGGTTTGAGTTGCAGACTTAGATATCTTGTCATCCTTTCGTGTGGGCTTCGCCAATCTTTGGTTTTGTTGGCTTCCATGACAACGACTCTCATATTATTTAATTATGAGTTTTGCTCTCTCTTCCCTGTATGGCGATGTTTTCTAACACGATTCACGTTCATCCACGCATAACAATTCTAATAAGTTGGGTATTTTTTAAAAAATTTAATTAGTCTAGAATTGATTTCAATAAGTTCTTGGTTTCAAAATCGAATGATAACATCACTAACAAATGACGGTGATATTATTAACTTTAATGAACTAATTTGATCGTTGTTTAGATATGAATCAAATTCAATTTTTTTTTGTGAGGAACGAACTCACTTTTAAAACTAATTTTATTTTAAAAGTTTCAGTAGTTTTAATTTATTAAAAAAATCTAATTTGTTTCTTGTATATGATACTTAGTTTCAATTTTACAACAATTTTGAAAGGTATGAGCCAAATTAATTAAGCAAATTTTTAATGGAATTATGTCCAAAATCTTTAAAACTAAACCAAATATGTAATTACCTAAACACTATTTTCACTTAAAAAAATCAAGCAAAGATTTGAAGACTAAAAAATATATTTTATTTTCTAAAATTTTATTAACAATTCAAAATTTTCTATAGGAATATAAAAAAAAAAGTAACATGAAATTGAGGGAAAAAAAAACACAATTAAAAAATATAAGTACAAATAAAATCGTTATTAAATATAACAAAAACATTTCAGACATTGATTTAAATATTAAATAAACTATTGTTTATAAGACTTTATTATTATTATTATTATTTTGGTACAAAAGGATTAAACATTGAATATTTTATTTTAAAAAAATGAGGTAATATTTTTCTAAATGAATTTCATCCGTGTAATTCAGTAGATGTTCCAATGCGGGCAAGCTTAAGTTAGAACCGGACAGTATTCCCCATCTCACCAAGAAAACTGAAGAAGTGTTTGGCTTTCGTCAAATGTAAACAAGCTTACGATGAGCTCGTGAATACCAGATCATCACCGCTTGGCGCCTCGACAGTGGGATCAAAACGATATAAAGCAAACCCTTCTTCTCGCGTTTCTTCTTCTGCGATTCGCTTCCTTCGAGTAGGTCTCAGTTTCCGGCCATGGCTGACGGTCAGCTCTACAGCAATATCTCTCTCGGCGGCCGTGGAGGCACTGTGAGCTCTCGTTCTGTGTGTGTGTGTGTGTGTGTGTGTGTGCCGCTGGTAACTTACTAGGTTTCTTGGTGGAGTTGGATCGTTGTATTTAGTGTGGGCATGGGGATGCGGTTGTGCTTTTCAACCCTAAGTTTCGAATTGTTCCTAGATTCTGTATGATGGTGATTTGATATTTCGAAAGGAAAAGTGAAGGGCGATTTTTTTTTTTGTTTATTTTCTCCGCTGTTTGTGTCTTTCTGTACCTCCTCGTGGCGCCACGGAAGGGAGGTGGTGTTCAAATAGCTAGAATAGTTATTAATTTTCAATAGAATTGGAGATTTTGTTCCGGCATAATTAGGGAGGAATGCTGGTAACTTATTACCTGTACATGTTCTTGAAATTCCCAAATTTCATAAATTTGATGGGTTGTTATTGTTTCCGAGTGCCATCTGTTGGGAGCGTGAGGGTAAAGTGTTATATTTTGAACTCTGTAATTGCTTGTCCCGACATCTCACTTGTTGCATTAGCTGAAGTACTTTGTATTGGAGGATTCTCAACTTGAATGAAGGGAAAGAAATGATCTTTAATAGTTACAATTTTCTGATTTTTCTTTTGGGGTCTTCTGTGAAAGTTTGGAATGATAAAAATGGACCCTTACAATTCTCCTCCATGTATATGTTTCGATGCAGAACCCTGGTCAGCTTAAGACAGATCAAAGAGGTATTCTGTGGAAGAAGCAAGGGGGTGGAAAGGCAGTTGAATTGGATAAAGCAGACATTGTTGGTGTAACATGGATGAAGGTCCCAAGGACAAACCAGTTAGGAATTCGGGTCAAAGATGGACTGTATTACAAGTTCACTGGATTCCGCGATCAGGTTTCCTGAATTTTATAGAATGATATTGCTTTTATATTTATTGACTGACGTTAGAATCTGGCTATGCACCTCATGGTGTTAGTTCACTTAATGTTGGTCCATATCATTGCCCCCAGTTATTCACTTAACCATTGTCTTTAGTAAGTGGATTATCTAGTTTTGTTGGCCTATGCCATCTGATCACAACAGTAGCTCGAAATGAGATGATTACAAATTACTCTTTCATGATTGTTTTTTTTGTTAATGTAGGACATCAGTAGTTTAACAAAATTTTTCCAAAGTAATTGTGGAATAGCACCAGAGGAAAAGCAGCTTTCTGTCAGTGGCCGTAATTGGGGTGAAGTTGACTTGAATGGTAAGCTGTTCTGATGCATTTAGTCTATCACGTGTTGTGCTTGTAGTCTTTACTTGTGAATTTCTTGTGCTAATCAATTTTGTATTCAAAGAACTCGTACTTTATTTGCATGTATAACTTTGGTGCTCTAATAAAAGACTAAATGGCTCAAAAAATCATCAATCTTGGTTTAGGAATTACATCATAGTGGCACTTAGCTCTAGCTTACATTTCCTTGGTTTTATGTATTTCTAGTCTGATCTGTGATGCAAATCAAATGTAAGTCATCTCTCTGCAAATTTGATTGTTGAGGTTGAATCTATTTTTTTAAAAAAGATACTCTGCACTGGCATGTGCAATCATAATTTCTTTTCATTGTTTTATAAGATTGTCAAGCATTCTACGTCTCTCTCTCTCACTCTAGTACCAGATAATTGATCTTTCCTAAATTTATTTAGTAATGGAATACATCTATAGGAAAGGTGTCTTCCTTTAATTACTTTATACCTTATGGTGTAGGGAATATGCTTACTTTCTTGGTTGGTTCAAAGCAAGCATTTGAAGTGTCTCTAGCTGATGTTGCTCAAACACAGCTTCAAGGGAAGAACGACGTTATGCTAGAGTTTCATGTGGATGATACAACAGGAGCTAATGAGGTCATTCTTTATGTTTTCTCTTTGTTTTAAAATAGTTTGTGTTAGTTGCTTACCAATTGATGAGCAATGTGGCATCTAATATCTTGAACTGCTTAGATTTTGTTTTGGATTGCTTTATTGTAATCTAATATTTTTAACATTATGATCACAGAAAGATTCTCTAATGGAGATAAGTTTTCACATACCAAATACCAATACTCAATTTGTTGGTGATGAAAGTCACCCTCCTGCTCAGGTAGAATCATATATCTGATTGATTCAGACTACAATGTGTATTTTTTTTGTGACATTTTATGAAGTATAGTTTGATTAAGGTTTTCCGCGACAAAATTATGTCCATGGCGGATGTTAGTGCGGGCATTGAGGAAGCTGTGGTCACATTTGAGGGCATTGCTATCCTCACTCCAAGGTAGACGGTCTGAGTGTTGCTTTTCATGTGACTGCACATGCCTAGAAGTATCATAGCATGCACATGTTTCTATCTAATTTTCTTGCATAGTTCCTTTTGTTTCTTTTAATGCTGGCACAACTTTTTCTTTCTGTCTTAAGGTATTCTAATGTGGTTATTTTTGTTGTATAGGGGTCGGTACAGTGTAGAACTCCACCTTTCGTTCCTGCGGCTCCAAGGACAAGCCAATGATTTCAAAATACAATACAGCAGCGTTGTTCGCCTTTTTTTACTTCCTAAGGTTTTTTTTCTTGACTTCTATTGACCATAGATGTTACACTATTTAGACCAGTCAGTCAATAAGATTTGAAGTCTTATGTGCATGTGATGTTTTGTGCAGTCCAATCAGCCACATACTTTTGTTGTAGTGACTTTAGATCCACCAATTCGTAAAGGCCAAACTTTGTACCCTCATATTGTTCTGCAGGTATTTGTTAAGGTTTCTTTACATGTTTTTTTTTTTTAATGAATTCTCTTCAAGGATCACCTTTTGTTCTTATGCATCTTTGCAGTTTGAGACTGACTTTGTGGTTCAAAGCACCCTGCAAATAGGCGATGAACTTTTCAACACAAAGT